ACAGAGACGCCGCGCCAGAAGGATCCAAAAGGATTCGCAGTCCAAACCTCGATAAATAATAGGAGAAATAGCGTGGCACACGAGGACGACAACTTCGAGAGAAGGAAGACATATACTCAATAAAAAATTTAAAAAGTTTAATAAAAAACGTTTCGGTCCGAGACCTTCATCGGTTGTAATACAATAAGTTACAAACTCCTAAAATAGATTTACAAAGAGGGCGTGATGACACGTATTAAAAAAAACAGCAATTACTACGCGAAAAATTATCACAATCTACAAGAAAAACAAAGAAATTAGAAAATTGTCGAATCCACTGAAAATGTTACGGAACACACGTTGAAAAAAGGCGAGAATTGAACCAAAGTTCCTAATCAAAGCTGAGACCGGGACCTTTGATACCCGCCCAGTTTAAAAAAATTATCCGCATTAATCATAGTTTATTCTTTTTTGGAGTGAAATTCCTGGCGCTTATTCAAGCCGAAGGGTGCCATAGAGAACAACTGTGCGCTCCAATATACTTCTTTGGTATTTAAGAGTTTCTCGATGTTACCTGTATTGTTTACGGTCGCCTGCACTTGATCAATGCATTGGAATGAGAAATCGCTCAAATCATGTGGTGTATTGTTAAAATGTACCGCTACTTCACAGGTCATTCTTTTTCTTAGTGTCCATAGCAGACTTATGGTTTCGAAATCTAACTCTAAAGTCATTTGTTGTGGAACCAATGTATTGTAGGCGACATTTCTTGCACGAAGCCAAATAAATTATGTTCTTAGAATCTCAGAAAAGTTTCGATCGTATCTTGTAACTCTTGCCTGTTTGAAAACTTAAAAAAGAATTAGATTCAACCAAGAAGTTGCGACAAAAGATCGCATCTTGTTCTATTACATTTAAAATGTAATAGAACAAGAACATTTAAAATGTAAATTTAAGATGTTTTAGATGTAATAGAACAAGATGGCATGCTATCTTGCTTGTACCAGCAAACAAGAGGACAAACTTATTCCAGTTTCAAGCGTACAAAACAAAAATTCGAAAGGACACAACTATAGCCGATTTCACAAAGCCATTTAAAGCTTTCATGGATTATCCTTTCTTTGTTTTTTCATTCTTTCTTCGGCAAAGCATGCATGTATGTACTTTGCAGCATATTCCTAATTAATTACTGTTTCTTTCAGACTCGGGTGGCTCTTAGTTAGATTCGACCTATAGCTTCATATTCTCTTTTAAAAACCATTATGGACTGGAGCCATTTAAACTTCATGTGAGGAAGAGTAAGTATGCCATATACGGCAAGATCGGTTACGGCCCAACCTTCGGTGGACACGACATTTATATCGCAAAGTCTGCAGGCTACAACACGAATTGCTACATCTACTTGGGACATTCATATGTGTCGCCGGCTGGGTACAAATACGGTGCGAGTGACACCACAAACCTGTTTGCAGGAAGTTACAATTTCCAGCCCCATGAGGTGGAAGTGTTTTATCAGACTCACAAAGGCTGATATTTTTTCACGCAGCAAGGCTTTGATGATTTTTGGAAAGAAATCCTCTGACGGTAAAGTACAAATGGCTGAACCGATTCAGTTAACTAAAAGAGAATGTAAGGGCAAGATATAGAAGCAGACTGCGAATTTATTTTGCATAGAATTGTAAGCATAATGGACGCAGTTAAGTACAAATGGCTGAACCGATTCAATTAACTAAAAGAGAATGTAAGGGAAAGATATAGAAGCAGGCTGCGAATTTATTTTGCATAGAATTGTAAACATAATGGAAGCAGTTAATACATTACTGTTGATTAACAAAATGCTTAATAAACCTTAACAACAAATTTCTCATGTTTATTTCTTTCGATTCTCTTACAATTCTAAAATGTCTTTTGATTTGAAGCATCGCTTTATATCAAATGATAATTTACCTTTCCCTTACAATAAACATTAATCTTTTTTATTAAAATGTTTCTTAAAATGACTCTGTCCGCCAGAAACTAGTGAGAAATACAAGAGATTTTTGGTCCACTAAGTTTTATTCACACCGCAATAAAATTCTCATTGTGTGGCTTACACAAAGTGTGTAGCCTCACTATATGGCATCACCGGATTTATTTATTTATTTATTTATTTATTTGCCGACGAGAGTCAAACGCATGTCACGTGGTCTAGTGTCGTAAGGCGTATTCTCAGTCAGTAGCCATCTTAGTTTAAAGCGTGGGCTCGAGTAATTTTCTTTTACAGGTGATCGTTTGACGAGTTAGTTCTCGTCACACAAGTCAAAGCGCCCAGATCCGGCTTTTGTTATAACTGCAGCTTGTGCACGAGCTTTTACGCTCTTATAAGACAACATTTAACAGCTTGAATCTTCGGTACGAGTTGTACTACACGGGAAGGAGTCATATTTGCACTCTCGCAAGCCAACAACTATCGGATTATCTATCGATGCGGGTTGGACCACTGAGTCTCTGAAAGAGTTTGAAAGTGTTTGAAATTGTCTTAAGCCTCCTGGAAGTGCCATAGAGGGAAATAAGTTGTATTGTAGTTGCATTCTCCTTGCACTGTTGAGAATTCACGGAGGCATATTTCAAAACGACAAACGTATTAGTAAGTATGGGAATCTCGATTGTACAATACCGGTCAAGGATTGACTTTTATGACATTTTCGTAGACACAAAAAATAGCTTATCACGTTTTAAGGATCATTGTTAGAGTTTAATGCCCATGATGTTCTATTTAAATGTCTTTTACTTGCCAGTGTAGGATTCCACGTGCGAATTTTTGTGTTAGCTTATCTTTTAGCACTATTTAAACGCTACGGCTTCTTAGCGCGCAAATTTTTCAACGTATTCTCTAGCCCGAAGTTTTCGTTGCCGAAAGCTTCGGCGCCACCGCTATAGTCAGGAAAGCATTTGTCAGTCTTGAAATTCCGTCTTGTATGTTTATCATCGCTTGGCCCTTTTTTTCGTGTATTTTTATTTATTTTCCTAGTTGAACCTCGCTCGCTCGCTCGATCACAAAACCTCAATCGGCTCCTCGAGTCTCTTCAACGAAGCGCGAGTTCGAAACTTTCTAGACGTAGCATCGACAAGAACTGTAGGCTACAGCCAGTATTGACGGGTTTTGGATAACACAATGTAGAATGATGTGATGTTTTGGTTTTCACAGATGGTTTTCTACACTGCTTATATTCCATTGCTTATAGGACTAGAGCCTAGTAGTTTAATGCTACAACTGAACTGTGATTATTATCATGTTTTCAAGTAATGTGCAGAATTATTCAGACCTTAACATTTCTTGACTTCCTGTAAGCTTGGCAGTCTTCTAAATTCTCTTCATAATGGTTCGGATGAACACTGATATTTAAACTTAGTAACAATACATGTGTATTAGGCCTTTATTTGGTAGACTACAACTTCTTTTCAGTTACTTGTTTGATTTTGTTTAATTCATCACAATACTGATCTACATGAAAAATTACACTCCTGATTGGCTGAAAACAGCTAGGTGTCTTTTGCATGTATCACTAGTGCAAAAGTAATTACTCAAGTACAAATGTAAACCAACTGATAGACTCAGCAACAATAGATCACTATAGAAACCAATCAGATTGACAAGAAGTAGGTTGTGCTGATTGATACACATAGAAGCTGACCAAAATAAACAAAAGCTTGAATTTTTTAGGTATATTGATAGAAACTGACAAAAGTGCATTCCTGAGTAAGATTTCAGCTGAAGGACAAATTTTGATAGCATGTCAAGTTGACCATTTACATGATGATGTCAAGTTCACCTTTTCATTTCTTGTCTTCACATAGCTTGAATTTGGGAAACACACTGGCATAAAATAATATCAATAAGAAAACTAGAAAGATTCTAGTACTTTAAATCATATGATATGATACCATGATGCGCTTGCCTGTACATTGAACTCTGTTGTGTTTAAGTTATGTCACTGATTACTGTTCCTGAAATCTATTATGGTGACACTTATCTCTATTGAACTTTCTGTTAAATAAAACCTCCAGGTCAAATTGTGAATCTTATTGGGATAAAAATTATTAGTAGTTTTAATGTAATGTTACTGGTATTTCAGAGTACTACCTAACATATGATTCATTAAAGTATTGCTTGTGTTCAGATATTGTTAAATGCAGCTATCTTTTTCCCCTAGATTGTTCCATTTGCAACCCCATATCCACCTACCTCAACTAAATATTCCTGTGTTCTTTATTGAAAATACAGTCCCACAAAACCCAAATACAATAATTAGAGAAAACATTTTGCTCCCAACCAACTGAAAATAGAATTTTGTGCCCTAATGAATAATAGAAACCTACACTCAGCATTGTGTTACTTTTATGTATGCATTGTCAAAAGTTAGTCATACATTCAAACCAAATCAAGCTCCCAAAGGCCTCTAGTGTAGATATCATCAACTCTCGAACGTTTCGGCCCTTCTGGCAAGTTGTGTCCTCGTGTACTGGTACACAAAATGCCAAAAATATTCGTATGAAATGCTTCCCTTGAGTTCATTTCACATCACTTGCCTTGGAAAAGACAACTCAACCTACAAACCTCAGAACTCAATTCCACTTTGTTACGTAAACAAAATCATGACTGAATCTATTAGGCCGCCATGGGAGATGATGCTGATGCTTTTGTTGGTTCCTTAAATCTTCAAGTTACATGTGCAACCTTTGTTGTCAAAATGAGGCCTCCATAGCAAAGTTTGGCCATTAACCCTCATCTTGAAAATGAACATTTCAGGACCATTCTATGCCAGTTATCTTATTTTATGATGAACAGGAACAATATTGAAAACTAACCGTAACCAGATATTAGCTCTTCTAATAGAAAATCAATAAGATAACAGACACTAGAAAGCAGCTCAATTTCGTAAGCCACACATGTACGCATTGCGGATCAATTTTTTTTTACTTTGATAACGAAGTTAGCAACATCGAAACGTCGGACAACTATAGTTTTATTGAAAATTTCTAATTATTAGAATAGGAATGAAATATTTTAAACTAACATTATCTGCCACCCCCGCTCTTATTTCTTGCCAAACAGCGAAATTTTCCAAAATAAATCGCTGAAAAATCGTGTCTTCCCCCCCCCACGGACACCCCCTATAGCCATAGCATTATAGCATCTTGTCCACAAATTATTACCCGCCTTTAAGAGAGATTTTGTTAATTCTAGCGACCTCACCATTAACCTCATCACTTAAATCTGAAGGGTACAGCTGAGAAGTGGGCTAAAGTAAACCAAGAGTTCATTTTCTCTTGAGGGAACTTATCACTGATGTAAGACCTATCAGTTTTACGGAAATCTGATCTTCATCAAAAGAGAATTTTCGGAAGTTCCGTATTTTTTTTTCTCGACAAAACTGTTACCTCTTGCCCGACCCCAAACGGGAACAAAATTTGCAAATATTTAACTCCCGCATGGGAGAAGAAAGTAGGGCCAACTTACGAAACCATAAGCAATGTCACTTAGTAATTGGTTATTTCTATTTTCATGCCTTGTTCTCTACATTATTCATCTCAGGCCTGTTTATGCAGCATACGTTACATGCTCAGCATTGTAAAGCGATGATAAATGACAAAAATTTCCAGGCTTAAGTAGCGGATTAGCATTCCACCAAAACCCATCCTTGGGAAGGTCATACTTGATTGATTATCACACAAGGCGAACGTAACGCTAAAGTAGTTTTTCTGTATCAAGGATACCTTAATTTCATAGTAGAATTTCTGATCGCTTGAGTTTAACGTACAAAGGATTGCCTGGTATGACTGATAAAGAGAAAAAATATTCTTCGTCACGGATGCGTTATGAGAATTAGCTTTGTTCTGGTTAGTTCTATCTTGAGAGAGATGTGTGTCAGCCAGTTACACAGAGAGCTGTTTCCTGCCAGGATCAGTTACAGAGGCACGTATAAGCTAAACAAGCTGATTCCTGTCAGCTGATATTCTATCCCTATCATTTAAGCCACGAACATCGAGCGAATATCCATTCAGGAAAACTGAAGGAGTTACTGCAAAAATGGAGGTAGTGAAGACTTCACGAGGGAACGGTTTCTTTACTGTTGCCGTGATTGTGAACATTTTGTTCAGTGCTGTCTCCATTGGGTTCCTTATCTACAAAGTACGAGTGTTAGAAGAGCACGTTTTCCAGCTTCAGAAAGGGCAGAGATATCACACTGAGGCAATTAGAGAAAATGAACGGGCAGACTTAACACATCGAAACAAGAGAGCTGTTGAGTCTTTTGGAACATCAAAAAGCTGCAGCAGTTGCCACAATGCTTGCGTTCATTTATTTGGACTCGGAGCCTCAGCGAAGGTACTGTTATGCACTTTTCTTGCTAAACGTAAAGTTGCATGGTAAGCATTTCCAACCATTGTTGGGAATATCAGTGATACTGAGCTTCTTGCTCCAAACTCAGTAAATTATAGGGTTAATTTTCCGAACCTAACAAACTTTGCTTTTGAGAAGAAAAATTCACTTACTCGAGAGCTTCTACTGTTTCATGGCATACATGTTGTAAAAAGGTTCTCAGCAACTCAAATTGATTCCTGTTTTTACAATCATCGAGTTCTTCACCCCAACAAGGTACTGAAGCTCATTGACAGTTATGTGCTTCCCCGCATTTTCTTCTTGTTATATTTATAGGTCACTACTAAAATTAGCAACGATACAGATCAGCAGGTTATCTGCTTACGAGGTGAGGGAGTATTTAATCTTTTATCTATGTATAATTGGGAATCAACAGGACATACGATAGATTCTCAAGCATTGCGACGAGTCTTACTATTAAAACAATGCAACTCATCTAAAGCATCATAGCAAGACAAGGCCTGTTCTGCGTGAATGCTACATGTACACATTTTATAGAATGATGAAGTAGAAATCGCTTAAATTGACCAATTGATTCTGTCACCGTAATATGGCAGGTTGAAAAGTTCCAACGGGTTACAACGCAGTAGCCAGAGCATTTTTTTAAAGAGTTGGTTCGTAGAAGAGGAACAAACGGAGTTTTGAATCGCTTAAATAGCGCGTTGCAATTTGTTTAATAACTTGAGTGTGCTTGAAGAAGGCTAATGTGACCTTGAAATAAAAAGCCTTCAATACCTTGGCTGAAAAATTACGTCTGAGCCATTTGGATTTAAAGATAGAACACAAAAAAATAGATAAAGATATTTCTCTAAGCAGTTGTATGCTTAAATCAGGCTGTCTTTCGCGTTTAACCTGTCAAAATGGAAAACATATAACCGGACCGAAATGAAGTGGCCTTAATTCGATTTCCCCCGAGACTTTATTTGAGAACGCCCTAGCAACATCTAGACAACGCTATATGACGAAAATATCCTGACTGGGAAAGCAATTTGGTATTTGGCACCGGAAACGTGAATTTTGTTATCCGTGTGTACTTTATTCTTTGCATTTCCATGAATTGACTCGTGAGGATGATCTATTCACTCGCCACGAAACACAGATCTGGTATAATCTATTTCATTTACCATTTTTATTTACTTTTGTGCCGCTGCATCGGAATTTCCTTCCATGTTGAATTTTTTTTATCTAGGCGCTCGTGGGCCCCAGGGTAAGGAGGGGCGAAGAGGACGAAAGGGTCGCCCAGGGTACATCGGAAAGGCAGGAAAAAAGGGCCCTCGTGGAGGGCGAGGACCCCCGGGACCCAGAGGGAGACCTGGGAACGCGTTTGCGGGAAATACATCGAAATTTCTTGAGGATATTGGTAAGAAAAGATGATGAATACACTTCCTGTTAGTAATAAGGTATCTTTTGTCACGTTACTGGCTTACTCTGCTAGATGCGTAGAATAGTTGCAAGGACATCAATATCTTTATGGGAAAAGATGAACAGAAAGAGTTAAAATGCGGCTGATACGATTGTAATGCAGTGCATTCTTGAGGTTTTTTGTGTATTTTTCAGCCTCTGCTAAATCCTCAACTTTGAGCTTGACATAGCACAGTTCTAATCATAATAAGAACATAGCACATTTATAATCATAATAAGAAGATAATCCTTTTGCTCGGTGTAATGCAAAGAAATTTCAATCGTTTTGAAAGCAATTGTTATTGAGGGACCAGTCACTTTTCGTCACCTGGGGGGGAGGGTGGGGAGATTTTGAACGGATCCGTCCTCTTTAACAGTTAATAGTCCCTTGTTTATATACTCTGTTAGTGACGACTGATCCTTCTCCCACTCCCGCCCTTGGAAACCATATGATAACCTCAGAATCCCCCGACCCACCCCCTAGGGAAGGGGCACAGTTCCCCCCCCATTTTTTGGCCCCCTTCCCCAAGCATTAGCCCTTCGTCAAATTTGGGGTTATCTAGTCATATCAATATTTGCTTTCAGATACCCCAGGAATAGAAAAGAAGCCACCAGCCATTTCCACGACGAAAGAGGGTAGCCATGTCTCCTTGCCCTGTTACCCCAAAGGTTATCCCAGGCCAGAGATCACGTGGTACAAGGATGGGCAAGAGATGGACAGTAGACTTTACAACAAAGAGACGGGAGTGTTGACGTTTCCCAGCATTCAATTCAGCGATCGAGGCCTGTATAAATGTGAAGCCAAGAATTTCCTGGGTTTTGAGTCGGCCAATGTAAAAGTTGTTGTCGAAGGTTAGAAAGCTTTTATATATATATCTTTGAAGCTTGTTACAAGTAGCAACTGTGCTGTTTACTTTCTTGTTGTCATGCATGGTGTGACTGAGATACTTTTGACAGCGGAGTGATCACGTGATGTGCTGTTTCAACTCCTCGTCTTAATCTTTCAGGCTAGGATTGTCGGCTCATTTCTCGAGCAGCGGCTGTGTGTTAAGCCCACCTATTGTATCCTCCTAAAGTGTCCAATATTTGAAGAAAATCTTACTTTAGCATGAATACCGTTTGTTGAAGAAGATTAGAAGTTACAAGAAGCAGTTGTTTGTTTTCCCTTTTCTTCTTTAGTTTCGTCTTCTTAAACTTAAAATCTAGGATGATCCAAAATATATATATATATATATATCAAGGGCAGTACAGTGGTTTAGTATGCTTCAAAGCTAAAATTCATCAAGGTTCAACGGACAAAGGTCAGGTTAAGCACCAATCATAATTTAAAATCGTCAAGCTTCCAGATAAATTATAGGAAATCATTAACTCGTACGATTATTGTAATTTCCTATTGCTTAGTAGCTAACCAATTTTAGCTTATCGAAATCATGTAAAAAACATGAGTTATAGCAGTTATTGGTTCATCTTTGAAAGATTTGCAGTTTTTTATTCTACATCAGCGAGAATAACAATGGTACTACCTACTCCAAGATTCCTGATCAGTAAACCCCGGCCGTTCTAGGTTACACACTTAAGACATTCAGTAAAGTCGGTTGAATATATGTATTTCAGTGACTCCAAGATTTGTTGAGAAGCCTGAGACCTACCATACAGGATACGAAACATGGGACACAACTCTGTCATGCAACATCTTTGGCTTCCCACCACCAAAGATACAATGGACTCGCTCATTCCGGCCATTACCTGTCGATCGTTACGTGGCGGCTGGTAAAGATTTGGTGATCAAAGATATTCGGAATGGAGACAAAGGACCCTTCATGTGCCGCGGAGAGAACCACCTTGGTTTCGTGTTTGCACTTATTGTGCTTGAAGTGAAACCTGTCAGTAAGTGGATAAAGTGTTTTAGAGACCCGTCATTATCTATCGATCTATCGCCTGGGGAAGGGAGGGGTTAGGATATTGGTTGCGTTTCGATGAAATCTATCTGATCCCCCCCTTAAGGCTTTGTAATATTTGAACGACTCTCCCCTTCCCCCTCCATTGTCAGTTGATTGGCAGTCAGTTTTCTGAATATCAAGGCGATCTTCGCAGTAATGAACACTACTTCAGCACTAATGAATATAAGGCCTGAAAAAAAGTTCAGCCCTGTACGGTATTTGAACCCATGACCTTTTGCGATATTGGTGCAATGCAGTGTCAATTTTCTTTAGTCCCCCTTTATACTCTGTTGACGACGACTGATCCCTTCTCCATTCCCTCTGAAAACCATGCAATCAACCCCCCCTAGAATCCTCCAAGCCCCCTCCCTAAGTGGTGAACAATGACTGGCCCTCATTAAAATGGATCGTTGTACGTAGTCGACCAATCACAAGGAACAACCAAAATTAAAACAGAGAATGATCGAAAACAAGTCAATTGAGATAAGGAATAAGGCAATATAGCATCAATCCAATTGCCTCAAAGTTACTTAAAAAATCAATAATGTTTTAGCGTGATCTTTACTTAACGATTTTCGTCATCACAGTGGTGAAAATGTTGCGGATGCACGAGGCTGCGTCTCGTGAGTCCGCAACAAATTGTGACCAGCATGATGACGGATATCAGTTGTCGGCATGGCTACAGACCACGCTAAAACACTGTCGATTTGTCTTTTACCACAATGTTGACGTAAAATAAAATGATGCGCGACCAAGATCTTTCAGTGCGTAACACGTTGATGCGAACAGCGTTGTCTGTACTCTTATAGACAACGGCAAATTGGCCAATCAGATCGCGACATAATTGCCAATTGGGGTAAAGAATGGTACTGAGAGAGCAGTATCATATAACTACACGGTAACGCGCATTTTCATTAACTGTCTAAATCTCTGATAGAGCCCCAATAGAAATCAATTTTTTTCCACATTTAGGCAATTTCCCCCTTTTTTTCTTTGGTCAACAGTTCCTCCAGCAATCACCAGTGCACCACCTTCGGTTGTTAAGGTGACAAAGGTCGATCACAGTATCACTCTGTATTGTGCTGCCCGTGGGTCTCCAGTGCCAAGTTTAGAGTGGAGTAAGGATGGAGTGCCAATTTCGACCAACACCACCTTAAAAACGGACGAAGAAGTGGAAGGAGAACTTGTTATTCCAAGTTTTGGCCCCACTGACCAGGGAGTGTACAAGTGTTTCTTTAAAAACTTCGATAACGGGACTGCAGAGATAACTACCACTGTAGGTAAATAGGGTGTTGTCTTTTTGGGATCCACAGTGAAACCTACATCGCCAGCGTCAGTGAAACAATGATCGTTTTTGTTGGCAATATAAGTCATGTGCTTATTCGTTCAAATTTTCAGAGCTTGTAGGATGCGGCGAACCTCATGTTCCCATGAACGGATATAAGGTTGGAGAGAATTATTGGGCAGGAGAGCTGGTTACTTTCGCCTGTGACGCAGGATACCACCTGGAAGGACCCACGAACAGACTGTGCTTAGAAAATGGCAACTGGAGTAACGTGGTGCCGACATGTAAGGAAAAAATAAGTTAATTATGCTGTACTGAAAAGTTCAACTAAAAACTTTATGGGTACGTTTTTTTTTTTTTTTTCCTTCAGGCCATAGTATATGTGACGAACCTGCTCCTCTCGAGAACGGTTACAGAGTAGGAAATGAATTTTGGGAAGGAAAAAATGTCACATACAAGTGTAACAAAGGCTTTCTTCTTCGTGGACCACATGTCAGAGTTTGTAATGATATTGGAAACTGGACAGAAGAGGAACCAACCTGTGAAGGTGAGATTCCCTGATTAGCTAGGATTTTACCTTCCTCATTTTTGTTGTTACAGCCAACATTATGGAATGGTCTTGCTGACCAGTGAACAAAAACAAAATCGCCTATCTTTCTATGGCAATAACAGTCAGAGAAGTCAACGTTAGTCGCTCTTATGCATTTGACGGCTCCTTAAACTCCAAAGAATCAAACGCTCAGACATATAGATTTCACACACTGATACCTCACCTGCTGAATTGAGCAATTGCCTGCTTTATATATCAGTGATTAGCCTCCTGCATATTGCCAGGATCTGCTGATTGGTCTTAGAGTTCCTCTTTGTCTGACGATAGTGAAAAAGGCGAACAGCATCTAACATCACTCCACGCCTGAGCTCCAATCATTTACGGTAATATTTCTTGTTCTCTGAGACAGTTGGCTGTCAAATTTAGGTGACCATATTCAGACTTTTCATCTCCAGTGGAATCTACTTTTCCTTTGCGGAGCTAATTAAAAGTAATTGTAAATGATATATTCAAGTAAATAACACACGCAAACTTCCGAAAACTGTTTACCTCTGCAAATTCTTGTCAGCCCTGAGTAAGTTATCCAATCTTGATTCTCATGTCACTGTCAAACCTAACACTTTCAGGGCCGGTGTTTGAGCACTCAGAAATCCTCCTGAACAATACTGAATACTGGGAGCTCCTTAAAGGCTGGTTGGGTCCTGTGTCTACTCTACCAGCCAATTGGAAGCTATGCTACAGAGCTACTGATCATGGATGGAGCTCCAGTACATTCCACTCGCAGTGCAACAGCTTAGGACCCTCGGTTACGTTTATTAGAGTGGGAGAGTATATATTTGGAGGATACACCGACCGAAACTGGCGTAAGTAAGGAAATCATTTACAATTTATTATCAGCGGATCGGAAGACTTGGGCTAAAGGTGAATTAGCTTGAAGGACTGAGTACCGTTAACTAGTGACTGGCATCTAATTTCTCCTCACAATATCACCCCTGTATTTACGAATTTACGAGTAGTTATACAGGGTAGACCAGTTTAGCAGATAGCTAGTTTAAATGGAGCCCTGTGAACACCCACCCATCTCACCCCAGGGGAGGACATCCATCACACAGCAATCTCGTGCGTGGGAAATTAACGTCTCCTACCCCTGGCGTAAAGATTACGAGAATAAAGGAAATGATCACCAACTGATGGGGTGGTGATTGTTAAACAAATTCTCCTTGTCCGCACCCTAGGAAATATAAAGACAACAGCCTGTTGAGAATATTTACACTAAGGTTTTGATTGTTGAACAAATTCTCCTTGTCAACATCTTAGGAAATATAAAGAAAACAGTATGTAGAATGTGCATACTAATGTTGTGGTGTAAAAGATTAGATGCGACAAGCATCGTACTAATTCCAGCTCTTTTTCTTATTTAGATTCACGTAGCTCTTACACAGACTCGACTTGGAGTTTCATTTTTTCGTTTAAGAACCGTTATGGACTCGAACCATTCAAGCTCCACGTGAAAAACTCTGGCCATGCCATATACGGAAATAACGGTTATGGACCAACATTCGGTGGCGGACACGACATTAATATCGCGAACTCTGCAGGCTCCAACAGGAATTCCTTCTGCAACTTGGGTCACAGTTATGTGCAACCGGCTGGGTACATATACAGTGCGAGTGACACGAAAAGTCTCTTGGCAGGAAGTTACAATTTCCAGCCCCAAGAGCTGGAAGTGTTCTATCAGACTCACAAGAAATGATATTGGTTACAAATACCGGAATAAGTTGGCGATTTTTATTAGTAGATGTAAACTTTCTCTAAGGAGGTGCATGACGTTTTGGGTATCTAGGATCTACATCTAGGCTGAGGTTCTTATGGAACTCAGCCTAGATCTTTTAAGTTTGGTATTTTCAATGTTATATCCCGCATTTAAAACATCTTTGTGTTCTTTTTGTTTACCTGTCCCCCTCTTATGATTATCTATCTTATCGCAAGTTTTCTTTGAAGATCTCGTTCCAGTTTATGACAATTTCAAACGGACGAAACACAGTTAGGAATTTAAAGACAAACCTACGTTAAAAAGGCAGAGTAAGATAAACTAATAATGAGGTACTTCATACAGATTGAAGGACAACTAGCTAGAATGGAAGTCTTTCTGGCAATGAAGCAACGGTAAAAAGTCTAAGATGATCCAGCAAAAACCTAGAGTAGTAATTTAGAATGTTTTGAAAGCTAAAATTCACAGTTACGATTCTATGACAAAAAGTCAGGTTAGGCGGCGATACAAATAATAATTAAAAATGTTTAAATCAACACAGCTCCTTGCAACATCATCGCGAAATGAAACAAAGTTACGAGCATAAAGGAAACGATCACCAACTAAAGCTCTTCATTATAAAACAAATTCTCCTAGTCAAAATCATAGGAATGTGTAGAGAACAGTATGGAGAATATGCATACTGATGTTGGAGTGCAAAAGGTTAGGAAATTAAGAAATCAGGAACTCCCACAATTATCATTACCTGTTGCTTTTTGGTAGCTTGTTGAAGACTTGGTAACAACACGAGCTGGCTATTTCAAGAGTTGCAGGTTTTCCAGACTTCACTCTCAAGAACATAACACCATCTATCGAAAGATTCGTATTTACTAATCCCCAGTCGTGCTTGGCCACAAACATAAGACATTAGACTTCGGAAAAATAATTAGTTTAATATATTACGTCACTTATCTTGTGTTAATTTTTGTGAAATTGAAAGAAGGCTCATTGTTAATACCGCTTTGTAGATTCACCTCCAACTTGGTAGACCTTCTAACATCTTTTTATAAAACGCCTAACGCACTTCAAAAAAGCCAAAAGTGACCTTGGTGTAACAGCAAGGATTCAGGCATGTTAGTTCTTTATACTGCCGTTGTTTGGTCACGTCACGACGCACATTCTTTCGTCACGCTACGGGTCACGCGATCAAACAACGGCTGGTAACACTTCCCCGTACACGGAAAGAATGTTTTAATTGTGCTAATGGAAGACAATGTGGACAGTGTGGACTGGCACAGGGACAGACTGCTTCGGCTTAAAATTAGCTCATGCTGAAGCAATTGAATCGCATAACACATCGGTTCAGTCAACCTCAAGTTACACAAACAATGCATATACTTCCGTACGTTCTTGAAACAAACGAAATGGTACTTAAGAGCAATTTTCAAACGCGTGAAGGAACTGATCCGAGATGGCATAGTTTTTGTGATTGGTCTTAAATTATCGCCATCCTCTCGACCGATCAAATTTAAAAACTAAACCCAATCACAACTTATTCACTAGCGATTTCCCACGCTCCTGACGGATAGCTTGTTTCTATTTTACTTCTCATTGGCTCCTCAAGTGAGTGTCCTTCCTCCTGATTAGCCTTAGCGATTTCTTCAGTTTGTTTCTATAAACCTCAATCCAAATCTGCTCTAATTAAAAAAATCAATCCAATTTTGGTAAAAGTCAGCAGAACACTACAAAACTACAGTGTGTAACTTGACAACAATCTCGTTGTAAACGGCTTGCGTTCTTGTTATTCCCTGTTATTTGCTTCAATAGAATCAACTTCTGCTTTCACGTAAAGAGCGCATAAAAGAAAGCACACGCTACAACATTAAAATGCAAGATTTGGAGGACCTTGGTTCAACCTACATGTATGAAACTTCTTGTTTACTGTCGCCAATATAACATATCTAAAACCTGTTTGAACGATCTTAAAAGTGACGGACGCAAAATGCACAATGGGAAATTGTACTTCAATTCCTTAAAAACAACTGGTTTGCCTGACGAAAATCAGTCATCACTATTCAATGAAACGCAACGTACATCACAGAAAATTACACCTCAACTACTTCAAACAATCCAAATATATTCTTCACCCAATGCTCTTAGTGTGCTCTCTCACCAGTCCTTCACTTGTCTAGTTGGAGCCGGAAGAATTCGGTGAAGAAAAAGAGAAAGCTGCTTTGAATATTGGAGGTAAATAATCATGTCGCAGCATACGCCGATCTATTTCCTGTCGACTTCGGGTCAGTTTTTTTAGGGCCTTGTGATGGTTGGCCCACAGATATAACTACAGGGCCTTGCACCCTGGCCTGTTGACCTGGACGTGTTACTCGGGGATTCTCGTCTGGTGTCTGGGGTAAAAGTCGCCTAGGCCGAGCCCGAGGGGCTTGATCACTCCTAGCTGCGGAGACTGGAGCTTCTTTCAGTGATGCCTGCTGTTTCCTAGCGTTTCTTCTTCTAACAGCCGGGTTTGCGTTGAATGACACCCCACCAAATGGGTCTTCCAGATTGTCCATAAACTCAGCCGCAGGGTTTACTAAGCCAGATTGGTCCTCAAAAGTGGCTGCTTGGGAGCTATCGCGCTCAACATTTCCACCAAATGGCGCGGAGCCTCCAAAGCCTTCGTTAAGATCATGAAAAGGAGTCGAACCTAAATTATTAGCAGAACCGCCTGCAACAGTCCCTACTTGCATCGAAGTAAACTGGCTCGACAAACCAAATGAGTCAGTATTAGGCTGGCTATGATCCTCAGGTTTTTTAGCTAAATGTTCACTGTTGCCTTTCGGTTGTGAAGGGGCCCGTGGGGTAAATGGAGCAGCGCCAAAGGCATCTGGAGCAGCTGGCGGCCCCTGTTTCCCTTTCTGAAGTACAAACGGCGCCGCACCAAAGGGATCAGAAAACCCCGGAGAGGGGGGCGGGCACTCGACCAACTCGGTGTTCTCCTCTGGTTCACTATCGCTTGATGCCTGATCCACTAAATTCAGGGTTTGTTCAATCTCAGAACTGCGGTAACCTTGGAGAAAAGGGTTGTTACCATCTTGGACAACGTGTGCAACGTATTGCTGCGGATCAGTGCCAGTGCTGGCATCGTCCGTAAACTGGGCAGACAAGTTTTCCCCATCTGCAAATTCACCGGTAGCTCTGTTCGAGTAGGACTCTGGCACCTGGATACCAAATGCAGTTGCTCCAAACAAATCCGTTCCTTGTTGCAATTCAGATGTATGTGGATTAGCTGTGTAAGGTTGATGGTAAGTGATATTCACACCGACATGAGATTTCTTCACATCACTCTCCCGGAGTGAAGCGAAGTCGTCATCAGTTACTTCACTTGGAGTGGACACAAAATCCTGCTCACTTGATTGGTAAAATGGACTAAACGGGTTCCAGTGGGGTGTGGATCCTTCATTAGATTCGATATCAACTAAAGGCATGTCTATCTGATCATTCTCCTTGGCGAGGTTAAGAGAAGGGTCACTGGGGCTTCGATATTGCGAGTTTATCTCGTTCGGTAGAGGCGTTAAACGTGCCGCTTGAACCTGCACCTTAGACTGGTTGCCAATTGCAAAATTAGGATCAGACCTCGAACGGTTGTGAGACATGTAACGCGGACGTAACAATCTGGCATCGCTAGGTCGTGAGGCGTCCTGACCTGAGTCTTGAGAAGACTGCATAGACATTTGAGGATGGACGGTGCCATGGTCGTGAACGTCACGCTGGTAGGCCGTCTCAACTGGATACTGCTGGTATTCGTAAAACGGATTGAGCTGACACTGGTCAGAATCGTGATACATTTGCTGGGTGACATTTTGTTGTCGCTGCTGCTGCTGCTGTTGTTGTTGTTGATGTTGTTGACCAGGATGGTACGGCTGTCCTGGTTGTACCTCTCTCTGGTAGTTCAACTGTTGCTGCGCCAGCTGCTGTTGCTGCTGCTGTTGAAGGAGCTGCTGTTGCTGCTGCTGTTGGAGTAGTCTTTGATGTTCCTGCTGCCGGAGTAACATCTGCTGCTGTTGCTGTTGTTGCAAGTACTGTTGCTGAGCCAGCTGCTGTTGTTGCAGGTACTGTTGCTGTAAGTATTGCTCCCTTGTCATTTGCTTTGGGTAACCCACATTTACACCCTGTTGGGCTTGATGGCCTTGATGAAAGACTGTTGAAGCCTGGGGGACACCCATAAGTTGCCCGGCAACCATGTCTGGCCTCCCATGAGCTACACCTCTAGGGTCCTGTACTTGACCCAGATTTCCTTGAGCTTGCAGATGAGGTCCATAATTCTCTTGCTCTCTTGTATGATTCTGGGAGATATTCCTTCTGTTTTGCCTAGGACTGGCCATGTGACTCAGGCCATGACCATGTTGGACATCCAGAGTTCCTCTCTGCGCCTGCGTGAACTGCTTGCGACTTTGCTGAGGACTTGCAATGTGGCTCAAATGCGATGATGCCTGGGAGGAAGACAACTGCTGAGCACCCTGACCTGCTCGCGGGCGCTGGCGAGGAGCGAGAGAAGTGGTAACCGGACCTTCAGGCCGTCTGCCGTAAAGATTAAGTTCCAGATGTTAGTAAAGTACAATATTGAATCGAAGCAACAATCAAGTGCAAACTGCTCGAAAAATTATCAAAATTAAATAGAATTTGGGTTTACATCAGCTGTCAACTGACTTCAGATAAGAACACGTCACCTATCATCCATATGAGCTGTACATATTGTTGCAGCTCATAGCTCAATAAACTGTATGATACGCGCTCAATTTTCACCTTAATTTGGGAGTAACACGACCAGTGTTTTCTGTCTTTTGCGGTCCCTCAGAAGATATTTCAGGTAGCGAGTCAGGTATTTTTACATTCTGTAACAGACAAAAAGAACAAGTCTTTATTAAACAGGTAAAATTTTGAGGGGAATCGCCTTTTTTGTTTATTTATCTAGTTTTTTTTTTTTTTTTTTTTTTTTTGACGGCTATACGATTTTTGGTCGCCTGATTGCGACTTCAAACGGACTTAAAGAGTCCTTGAATTACAAGACGTATTGTCTCCCAGTCTCCTTCGTGGTTGTTGTTTGGTTTCGTCACGCAACACGCTCTCGGGTCGGGGAGAGAACACGTTGCGTGACGAGATTAAAAAACGGCAGCGAAGGATACTGTCTTCCGGTCTAAGGCAGGAAGTCAAACGAAGCAACCTTCGTATTCAAGTTTGCTAAAACTAAAACCACCGGCACTGACGTTGGATAAGAAGTAAAGACAAAGCAAACCTTAGTATTAGCAACGGGACACTCAAGTCCTCTGAGCTTAAATGCTACGTAAGACACCTGGAAGATATCGGGTCTAGTGTCCGGATCAGGATTAAGAATATAACCTAAAAAATGAAATGAAAAACATTAAAAGGAAGTCAAGCATAAGTCACAAAAATCACGCTATCGAATGAGGAACAAGAGCACAACAAAACAAATGAAAAGGAATAAAAACCTCAAATAAACTTACCGATTAGTCTGTGGAGTTCAGGCGAATGGCGGGAGTTTTCAGGAAAAGTAAATTGACCACTCTGTATGGCCAGCGGACTTTCACCAAATGGTAGAGTAAAAAAACACATCTTGTAAAGAAGACATCCAAGAGCCTGACAAAAACAAAAACAACAACAAAAAAAAAAAACAATAAACAAGACACTTAATACCAGCTGCAATTTGAGAAGGGGATGGTTACGTCTATGGGAAAAAAATTCCAGTTGTAAACAAAGAAACAAAAAAAATTGTAAAATTTAATAATAACCAATGTCTGTTTAACTGGTATAATATCACTGTGCCTACCCAGATGTCAGCTTTAGTTGAAATTATTTTGCCACTGTATAAATCTATCATCTCAGGTGCTCGGTAAGATAAAGTTGTATACCTAGAAACAAAAATGACCATAAAGTCACAGGCTTTAAAGACCTCGTCTATTAATTACAAAACTGCTCTGAAAGAGCAGCAAAAGTGTGTTAAAAAATAATTCCATAAATCTGGATAGTAACAAGCCTTTAATCAAACGTCAAAATGCCAATAAACAGAAGGCAATGGATAGGAATGGATTCTTTATTGCGCTTCAAAGGCCATCTGAGAGGGTTTGGGGCAGGAGACGTTAATCTCCCAAGCACGAGATTACTGTATGATGGATGTCCTCCCCTGGGGTGGGATGGGTGGTTAACAGGACCCCCGTTGATACCACTGTTTACTACACTGAAGGGGCTATCCTGTAGAAATATAGATGTCTACTTCTACTTCTACTACTTCTACTACTTCTACTACTTCTACTTCTACGTCTACGTCTACCACTACCACTGCCACTGCCACTGCCACTGCCACTGCCACTGCCACTGCCACTGCCACTGCCACTGCCACTGCCACTGCTACTGCTACTGCTACTACTACTACTAATAGTTACTCCTAACAACAGGGTTCTTGCGCTTTTTCAGGAACCCAATTCAAGGACTTTCTAGGTCA